CTCTATGGGAGAAAGATGTGGCAGTCGGCTTGGAAAACTTATGGGGCCGTTCTACTCTGCCCTATAGGGTCGCTATGAGTTGAAACCAACTTGATGGCAACAGTTTTTTTTTTAAACCATGCTATTATCCTACTCTAAGCCATCCTCACCTCTCACTTGAGTTACTGAAATAGCCTCCGGATTGTCTCCTTGCTTCCATCCCTGCCCCTCTACAGAGCAGCCTGAGTAATACTTTTTTTTTTTGGCTATAGCCACTTTTTTAATTTTGGTGAAAATATACACAGTCATACACCATTTCAACAAATTTCTACATGTACAGTTCAGTGACGTTGACTACGTTCTTCCAGTTGTGCAGACATCTCACCCTCCTTCTCCAAACTGCTCCACCACCACTGACTTAAACTCACTGCCTCCTAAGCTTCTCATCTAACCTTTTGAGTTGCTGTTTGTTAATTTGATCTCACATAGATAATTCTTTAAAAAGAGCGCAATGAAAATTAGTATGTTTTACACAGAAGTGAAATCATGTCTGTTTCTCTGCTCATCTTTCTCCAGTGGTGCTCGTTTACACTCCAAATGAAATCCAATCTCTATGTGGCCTTCAAGGCCTCACAAGATCTGGCCCCTGTGGGTTTGTGGTTTGGCAGACACTGGACTGGGTGCTCTTGCATAATGTAATATAATGTAATCATCTTCCATGATGTGATCTGATGTGAGCAGCCATGGAAGGGGAGTTTCCTTGGGGGGTGTGGCCTGCCTCCAGTGTATAAATGGATGTTCTGTCAGAGCTCGCTCTCTCTCGACCCTGCACTCTTCTTGTTGCCTGACCCCTGGTTCCTGGGACATAAGTCTGCAGAAGTCTCCAGCCTGCCACCTGACCTGCAGATTTTAGGTTCACCAGCCCCCACAACTGTGTGAGCTATTTCCTTGAAGTAAATCTATCATTCTCTCTCTGAATCTCTGTGTATATATACAGTAAAACCTGCAAAAGCCAGAACCTGTGTAAGGCAGAAGCTTGTCATTAGAAGGAAAACTCAAATATTTTCCACTAACAGAGAGCAACAGAAAAGTGGTAAGACCGTACCCTGTAAAGGCGGGAAACTTGTGAGATCTGGAAAAACAAGGCAGTCCTGTCAAGTTCCGGCCCTCACAGGTTTCACTGTACATACATCTCACTGGTTTTACCCCTCACGAGAACCCAGACTAAGACACTGGGATAGGTTTGAGTGTATCAGGAGGAAGACGTATTACACAAATACAGTTTCTCTTGGTTAAGCCTTTAAAAGGCCTGTGCAGTGTAGACATGCTAGCCTCACAGCTAGCACCTCTCGGGGAGGGATGCCTTTCTATTGTGAAAATCCAAGAGGCTCCCAGCAAGGACGGTACCTGAACCAAAGACACCCTACTTCTCCTGGGACGTGAACTGAGGGCATCCCAGGTAGACGGAGGCGGAACTAGGATTCTCCTCAGAACGTGCTTATTGGTTCTTTCCAACGCACTGACAAATGGGAAACCGGAACTCTTATTCTATGCCAAGAAGCTTGGCCACAACAATGTCAGTGGGGAAAATATTTCAAGCAGGTGTACTGGGTCCTACTTCTCAGTAAAGTACCTACAGAATGTCTTACTTTCGGCAAATCACCTTCTTTGATTTATTTATTTATTTACTATTAAATACATTTAACTTTTAAGTAATTAGCTACTCTTCAGAAGAGCCTAGGTGGCACAGTGGTTAAGCGCTTGGCTGCTAACCGAAAGGTTGGTGGTTTGAACCCACCCAGTGGCTCTGTGGGAGAAAGACCTGGAGATCTGCTCCCATAAATATTATAGCCTAGAAAACCCTATGGGGCAGTTCTACTCTGTCACATGGGGTCACTATGAGTCGGAACGGACTTGATGGCACCTAGCAACAACAACAGCTACTCTGCTATAAAACTTGTGAAGGGAGCAAGAAAAGGAGACAACCGAAAATTTTTAAAAAGTCTGTTAAGAAGGAACGTACTATTCTTTTTTTCAGTGATGCTCTTGGTAGAACAATGTGCTGAGAAGGATTGAGGTGACCCAGGACAGGTTTTCTATATTTAGGTCTAAGCTACTGAGACAATAACTCAGCAGCTATTCAGATTAACCATCTGTGTCCCTATAATGGGGTCAGAAACATTAGCGTATGACCTTTGAAAAATAATCCAAATATTTAAATAGTTTTGAAAAAAAAAAAAATCAATAACATTGGAGAAATCTACTTCCTAGATCTAGGTCTAAGTCAGTTTGTTTGTCCACTTTACTCAAGGTGGTATACATTTTTTAAAAAAATAATTTATTTTATTTTGGTTATTGTTGTTGAGAATATACATAGCAGAACATACACCAATTCAACAACTTCTGCATGCACAATTCAGTGACATTGATTACATCTTCGAGTTGTGCAATCTTTCTTACCTCCCTTTTCTGAGTTGTTCCTCCCCCATTAACATAAATTCACTGCTCCTCTAAGCTTCCTATGTAACCTTTTGGGATGCTGTTGTCAACTTGATCCCATATAGATAATTCTTAAAAGAGCACAATGCTCAAAGTAGACATTCTTTACTAGTTAAGCTAAACTATTTTTTAGTAGAGGGTCAGTGAAAAAGAGGAAGACCCTCAAAGAGATGGAGTGACATAGTGGTTGCAACAATGGGCTCAAACACAGCTACGGTTGTGAGGATGGCGCAGGACCCGGCAGCGTGCACTCTGTTGTACGTGGGGTTGCTATGAGTCGGAACTGACTTGATGGCACCTAACAACAACAATAACAACATTGTTTGGTTTAAAGAAGACTTGAGGGGATAATTCTAGTTTAAGGTCTAAAGATGTGGCATACATTTTTCAATACAGAATACATTTAACAGGCTACACACAGTCATTGATTTTAGATAAATCCAGGCTATGAGGCCTGGGCTTTTAGGTTTCTGCTAGCCCCTTCTTACTCTTCCTAGCCTGCTAATCCCCTCAGGAAATCACCCCTTAACATACACCAGACACGTGGCCATAACGTTCTGGAGTGGAAGCTACTAATCTTTGCTTCTCTCCTGGCACAATCTATCCCCGTAATTGTGCAGCTGGAACCCAAATACAACAGGGAGGGCCCAGGTACCAAAGCCTTGAGGGTTTTTGTGCCCATTAGATATGCTGCTTCTCCCAGGGCAACCCGAGTCACACTTGAACACCCTGGAAAAGGATCTTAGTGTATATGTTATGGAGTCCCTGGGTGGTGCAAATGGTTAACACGCTTGGCTGCTAACCGAAAGGTTGGAGAAAGGTCGGAAGACAGGCCTGGCG